TTTTCAAACACGCCGATTCTAAATTGTATTTTCAAATTCTAAAAATTGTATTTTCAAATTCGCCGATTCTAAATTGTATTTTCAAATTCTAAAAATTGTATTTTCAAATTACACAAACTTACACTTGTCGCGGTTTTTCTGCTCAATCCAATATGATATGTGCCTGCTTGCCGACTAATGGTCGTCATAGCTTTTCGGAACACGCTAAGTGCTTCGGAACTTGAAATTGTCATTAATCCATAAGTTCCATATTTATAACATCCTGCAATTGCAGCAGAGCGATTCACCGTTAGATTATTAAAGAGGACCAGCTGAAAAATATGTTTTTTAAAGCGAAATTTCTGATTTTCTATCAATTTTCTCACCCTAACACATCCGCTGACTCCCGCTATTTTTTCTGTAAACCCTGGTATGCAACCAGAATTTTTTCCAATCCACGAAAACCTACTTGACAGGCCGGAAGTTGTTGGTTGATAGGCAGAATAATTAGAAGCACTGGTTTCACTTTTCTGGATTATGTTTTTTTTTTTGAAATTTGAAATTTAAAAAAATTACTTACCATTGGCCGTCCAGCAGTCCATAAACTAGTGAAATTCAAAGTGCAAGTGATGTCATCCGTAACATACTGTACTGTTAAAAAATTTTTTGGGTCTACTAGACTACAAACTAGAAAAAACCTTAATTGCCGCAAAATGTAGAGCAGTTGAAGACGTTGGCGGTGTTTCTATTCTTATAACATTATCCACATTTCCATAATAAGCCATCCGACAGTCCGGATAATTTTTCATATAGGCCATATAGCAATATGAATCCTTATAACATTCATACATACATTCTTTCCATGATTTTGAACTTGGAGCAATTGGATTCACTAGTTTAGGAACTCCTCGAAAACTCATCATTGCTTTTGGGCAGTTCTAGAACATTTTCAGATTTTTCGAATTGAAAAATATTTTAAAGACTCACCGTACACTTTGGCACTGGATCCAACCAATCGCTACAACCATCTACAAAATCATACTCTGGAAATATTTTTTTTTTGGATTACTGTAGTTTGAAATTCCTAATTTAAATTTTCTTACCATAGTTTATAGTGTAGGAAGTTGGAGTATCCGCTGAAAACTTATAAGATTTAATTGGAGGATTTCGATAAACGCTGGGTGCACTCAATAGCAATTCTGACGGTGATTTGGCACATTTTGTGAAATTATTTTGAACCTGAAATTTTGAAAATACCTGTAAATCTGATTTCGCAAAAAAAAAATCTTTAAAGGTGGGAGGACAGGAGATTTTTCGTAGTTTTTTTGTAGCTAGAGTATGCATTCTACCGTCACGGTGTACAACGCTTAATGTCACTCTGCGTACAGCTGTCGTCCTCGCCTTTATGTACCTTTAAAAATGGTGAAATCTAGACGAAAATCGAGCTAGAATGAAGGAAGATACGATTTGGGTCTTCTAGACTACAAGCTACAACGCGCGGGGTGATCAGGCCAATTCCCGAATAGCGCCACTTGGGCCTGTTAGACTACAAAGTACGGAATAAACATTAGCAGGTCGATTCCCGAATAGTGCCACTTGGGCCTGCTAGACTACGAACTACAAACCAAACATTAGCAGACCAATATATCGCGCTTCAAAAATTCGTCAGTTGGGCCTGCTAGACTACAAACTACAGAACAAACATTAGCAGACCCATTATGCGCGCATTAGAAATTGGGCCTACCAGACTACAAACTATAACCCAAACATTAGCAGACCAATATATCGCGTTTCAAAAATTCGTCAGTTGGGTCTGCTAGACTACAAACTACACATCAAACATTAGCAGACCCATTATGCGCGCATAAGAAATTGGGCCTACCAGACTACAAACTATAACCCAAACGTTAGCAGACCAATCATGAGTGCAAAAAATAGAAACGCGCCAGTTGGGCCTGCTAGACTACAAACTACAGAACAAACATTAGCTGACCCGTATTATATTCCTGTCATTTTTCAGCTTTAAAACAAGATTTTCAGATTCTGAAAAGTGGTAGACTGAAGTTTTCAATATTGCTGAATTCAAAAATGACACTTTCTAAACTCTTCCACTCACCTTCAATCCAATTTTATTATCCGAACCTTCGCCATTTGTTTGAACTTTAATCAAATCTCCTACAGAATACAAAAAACAAATATTAGAGCTATTTCCAAAGGACATAATACAATTAGCATCTGTGGAACATTTTTCAGCACAATCTTTAGAATTCACACCTGTCAAAATTTGTGTGGGATAACTGGTTGATGGGTCAGGTACTCCATATATCAAAACTACTGTTGGATTTGTGTGGTCGGGAAATAAAAGAAATTGCAGGATGCAGGAGAATAAATACATTTTTGGTTTTGTTGTAAAAAGAAAAGGAAAAAGGAAAAAACGGACGCCGAGTTTTACATAGTTGTCAGTGGTAACAAGATTGACATGTTAATGTAAAAATTTTAAAACCTTTTTTTTTTTTGGTTTTTTGGTAAATCTTTATTTGTAGTTTGTAGTTATGAAACATTCAAATGATCAGAAATTCCACCACATCACCGTCACTTCATTATTCCTATTTCTATAAAGCGCCAATCCCATTTTTTCGCTATGCCATTATTGAAGCTAGCGACATCCGGAAATTGTGAAATTATTTGAAACGTTCTTTGGTAGTGAATTACGATAGTATTCTCGAAAAGCAAACGTTCTTCACCTGAACACTGTGAAGGTGTGGTGTTAATCAGCTGGAAATGAAAAATTCAATTTTAGAAACTTAAATTGAAAAAAAAAGAAAATGAACCTTGATTGCCATATAATTAGGAGTAGTTGGGTCGATTTCATAGTTGTAGTTGAGATTGAATTTATCGAATTTTTCGATTTCGAAAAGAACACATTTAAAATATGTATTCGTTACAGCCAGTATGCATCTGTTATTCTGAATACATCTGTTAACGCACTGAGTCCACGTCATTGGTGGCTGATTTGAATCTCCGTATTCCATTGAGATAGTACCACGGAAACTGTACATTCTGTACGACTCGACGAGTACTACAAAATGAAACTTCTTGGAAAACTTATGAAGGCGAGGATTGAGGGTGCGGCGTCGCTACCGACTGAGCCACGCGGGTAAAGAGAAAGCGTCCGCTCCATTGCATACATAAAAGCGAGGACGACAGCTGTACGCAGAGTGACATTAAGCGTTGTACACCGTCACGGTAGAATGCATACTCTGGCACCAAAAATCCCCCGTAAAATCTCCTGTCCCCCCACCTTGAAAAAAACAATGGTAGGGTCCGCGAAGACCCGACAGAGGCTCCTTTTACAGGAATTCTTAGTTACTTGGTAAAAAAGCTGTATCCGGCACCTCTTTCTCTCTCTCTCTCAGTTTGTCCGGACATTTTGAAAAACTCGAAAACTAAATATAGATTGAAGTGACCACAAATAGAGGGGGACTGCTGAAAAACTGCTAAATGACAGCTGAAGAGGCGCAAACTGGCGAATGACTGCTAGTTGGCAGCCGAAGGAGAACTGACGGACCGTCGACGGACAGTCTCGCATTCGATTTCGCATTCAATTTTCCGTTTTTTTTGCCAAATTCTGGATCCCGGATTCGATTTTTAATAAAATGATGTGAAAAAAGTATGTATGTTGGCTCTTTAACAATTCTTTATTAGTAGTTTGTAGTTATACAGCATGCAATCAATCATAATAGAGTAGGTTCATACCAATCCACTTTTACTGTATTTCCAGTTTTCTTCAATGTCATATAAAAATTCTTGTGGTCGCTACCTTCCTCCAGGAAACTTGTGACATCCTGAAAGTTAGAATTTATGTCGTTAAGGAAATTTTGGATAATCAATTACGATAGTAGAACTGAAAAGAGCATTTTCGTCGGCTGGACAATTGAAATCAGGTGTAGTGTTGATCAGCTGAAAATAGAAATTTTGACATCCCGAAATTCGAGTACAAATCTGACATCCCGAAATTAGAGAACACAATTTTTTGGGATCATTGGGGTACCAAGAGATTTAGGGATTTCCTTAATCAATTGGTAACAATTTTTACATCCGAACTTTCGTACTCTGTGCCCAAAATTATAGGAACTCAACCTTGATTGCTAGATAGTCAGTAGAAGTCGAATCGATTTCATAACTGTCGCTGAGAGTGAGTTCAGTGAATGTTTCGATTCCGAAAAGAACACATGCAGTATAATTATCCGATGCAGCGAGGATACAGTTTTCATCACGAGCACATTTGGTAACGCATTGATTCCACGGACCGTTTGCTTGCCCATCTCCTTTTTTCATTAAAACGCTTCCGCGGAAATTGTACATTCTGGATGGGCATGTCTGAAAAGAACCTTATTTAGTGAATTTTCAGTGACTCTGAAAAATTTAGAACTGAAGAAAAAAACTGGCACCTGAAACTCTGGAAAACATCATTTTTGTGTACCTTGGAACAATTTGCGGAGTACAAAGTTAAAATTGCGAATCTTTGTTTCTCGGTATTGGACCTCAACCTTTTGGGCCCTCAAATTTATTTAGGTCCCGAATTTTTTCTTGGTTCTTTTTTCATTTTTGGGCCCTCTGATCTTTAAAAAAAGGTACGGTCCTCTAGACTCACCTTCTCACATGGAATGCCTGTTCGGTATGGTCTGTTACATTCGTCAACGTAGTTGTAGGAGACATCATATGACATCATATTTTTTGATTCCGAAGTAACTGAGATTCCGATGCCTGTGATGTCTGTAGCCAAAGAACTCGCATAACCGGTCTGGCTGGCAATAGTATCACTTGCGGATCCCAAACATTTTCCATTTGGAATATCGAGCTGAAAATAGTTGGAATGATTAAAATACGGAGACCGGGAGAGACGCAGATAGTTAGAGTGTCTCGTTGTCTGCGTCTGTAGTCTTGTAACTTTAAATGGCCATATCTCGGCTCCCAGTATGGCTAGAAAAGTGATAATAGGTGCAAATTGTTGCAAATTCGCTAGACTTAATTTTCAACTAATGATTGTTCAAAAAATATAATAATTTAAAATCTGAATAGAGAAAAAAGGGACCTACCCTAAAGGCAACCATTTCATTTTCCATTGCAGATTGTGAACCGTCATTTCTGACTTTATAAAAATCTCCAAGAAAATAAAACGAACATCTGTCACCTTTGAAATAAACCATATAACAGTTCAGAGCTTCAAAATTTTCCATGCAACTTTCGTGACACTCCTCCCAACTTATACCAGTGATAACTTTGTACGGATAGCTGTCTTTCAAATCTGGTGCTCCATTTATAGCTACCATTTTGTATGTTGCTTGTGATAGAGGTGAAAATAGAAGAAAAATGAGAAGAATCGGGAGAAACTTCATGTTGGATGAAACTCTCTGCTTTTGAAAAATAAAGAAGTGAAAAAAAAACTGAAGGTGTCAATTTACACATAAATCAGTTTTGTTAATGTGAAAAACTAAAAATTTTAGTCTCGTAGTCATGGAAATTGTTGACTTTCTGATTTTTTCTACTTTAGATTTTAGTTTGAAGCGGGAGAAAAAAGACGAAACTAGGACTATATACATGTTCAGAAAGATTCAAGTTCACATGAATCGCGGGCGAAAATGTTTAGATTTCTAAAAAATTGGGATCATGCAGATATTCAAGTTTGGGACTTCCTGAAAATAGCAATATTAATGTGGCTGTCCAAAATAGAGAATTAATTGTTGTAGAGTACTGAAAAAAAAAAATCTAGAATTACAATTTCTTGGAAATTGACAACCTGAAATATCTGAATAATCACTTAGTACATATCCAGTTGGTCTGGAAACTTTAGAGATTGTAAATAAAATATGGGACGGGTAATTAACAATATTCTAGAGAACATTTCTGATTACTTTACAAGACTCCGGTTTTAGAAAATCGTAGATGTTTGAATTGAAAACCGAAAAGTTCCTAATTTTTGTTTTTTACAAAAGTGTCCAAAGTTCGCATTTTGCACTCCATATTCGGTTTTTATTCCAAAGTATGGATCCCGGATTCACTTTTGAAAAAAAAATCAATGAAAAAATATGTATGTTTTTTAAATAAATTTTTATTCGCAGTTTGTAGTTATAAAACATGCAAATAATTATCCATACTGATCAGGTTCATTCATACCACTGCACCTTTACTGTATTTCCAGTTCTCATCATTTGCATTGCATAGTTTTTGTGGCCACTACCAGCCTCTAGAAAGCTTGTGACGTCCTGAAAATTAGAATTTATGTCGCTAAGTATATTTGGGATGCTTCATTACCATCGTATTATAGAATAGAGTAGTTTCGTCAGCAGGGCAATTAAAATCAGGTGAGGTCTTAATCAGCTGGAAAAAAAAGTTTAATTTGAATACCGGAAAAATTAAAGGAAATGAACCTTGATTGATAAATAGTCAGGAGCGATAGAATCGATGTCATAATTGTCGCTGAGAGTGAGCTCAGTGAATGTGTCGATTTTGAAATGATAGCATGTATAATACTTATTTGTTGCAGCTAGGATACAAGTGCCATCATGAAAACATTTGCTAAAGCATTGATTCCACGTAACCTCTGCTGCAATTGGTACTCCATTATCCATTGAAACCGTCCCGTGGAAATTGTACATTCTGTATGGGCATGTCTGAAAAAGTTTGTATCAAACACTCGTGAAGCTCCTAGGGGTCATCTAGAACATTTTCCAATTGACTAATAAGCTGAATTTAGAACAAGAAATACACATTTTAGAACTAACTATAAAGAAAAGAAAGAGCCTGGCAGCTGAAAAACCAGAAGCAGCGGCTTAGTAATTTCGTTATCAATTTAATTGGGTCCTCTGTTTTTTTCAGTCCTCCATTTCAATTTTGAGTCATCTAAACTAGAACAGAGTCAGAGGAATTTCATTGGAGAAATGTATCGAGACCAGTCTGTTACTCACTTTACAAGGAATGTCTAGTCGATATGGTCTGTTACATTCGTTATCGTAGTTATAGCTGACGTCATAGGACTCCGGTGTAACTGATATTCCGAAACTTGTGATGCCTAAACCCGAAGAACTTGCAAATAGATAAGAACCAGTCTGGCTGGCAAGAGTACTACTTGCAGATCCCAAGCATTCTCCATTTGGAATATCGAGCTGAAAATAGTTGGAATGATTAAAATACGGAGACCGGGAGAGACGCAGATAGTTAGAGTGTCTCTTTGTCTGCGTCTCTAGTCTTGTAAATGTAGGGTTGGCTTGGGGGCGAAAAGGGGCGATCCCCGCCCCAGAGAGCGGGGCGGGGATTCGCCCCCGCCCCGGGAGGCGGCTTACTTTGCGTAATCACGCGTAACTGAATGGACCAATTGACTTGAAACTGTCAGGGTAGCCTAATTGGGTACCCTGAACCGTAAAAAATTTGAAAAAATTTGGTTACTGCTTCATTCAACGAACTGCTTTTTTCCACAGGCGGGGCGGGGGNGAATCCCCGCCCCGTTGCCAACCCTATGTAAATGGAAAGGACTTTTATACCAAGCTAAAAGGCGGAGTTTAACATAACAGTAGCAATATGGTAGAATGATGAAGATGTGATAGAAAGAATGTTTTTAAGCTCTAAATCATATTAAAAATGAGTCGCCGAGAACAATAGTGCGATCCTTAGATCCAGCCCATCTTCTATCAAAATAGAAGGTAAAAAGAGAAAAAGTCTTACCTTGAAACCAACCACCTCATCTTCCAATATATCTCCAAAACCGTCGTTACTGATTTTTTGATAATCTCCAATCGTATACAACGAACATCTGTCCCTCTTCACAGAAGCCATGTGACAGTGATCAGGAAGATTCTCGCAATTATAGAGACATTCCTCCCATGTTTTACCAAATGAAACACTGAATGGATAGCTATTTTTTATTTCTGGTGCTCCAAATACAGCCACCATTTTGTATTCATCTTGAGATTGAGATAAGAATAGAGAACAAGTAAAAAGAATCGGGAGAAACTTCATTTTGGATGAAACTCTCTGTTTTTTGAAAAATGAAGAAGTAAAATCGGAAAAACTGAAGGTTTCAATTTTCACATAAATCAATTTTGCTAATGTGAAAAACAAGGGGAACATTTTAGTCTCGTAGTCATGGGGAATTTTGACTTTTTGACTTTTTCAACTTCAGATTTTAGTGTGGAGTGAGATAAAAACATGAATGAACTAAATTATCAGGAATTTTCAGATTTTCAGAAATGTTGAAAACAGAGGAAACATTAAAAAAAATTTCTCAACAACAAAAATTAAGTTCTACTTTGGGCTTTCAGAAACATTCAAAAAGTTTGTAGGTCTGTTCAGAAATTCAAATAGAATATTTTTATTGAAGTTAATATATTAAAAAGAACCCAGAATTTTTTAAATACTTTTACCGATCATCAAACAATTTCCATTCAAACTTTGAATTAAATTTTTGCTCAGCTTGAAAAATAATGATTTGAATTTTTCCAATTTTTAAAAGATATTTTTCCCCTTCTAACTTGAATACTGTTCGAGAAATCCTTATTCAATCCTTAAAATTTTTTCCAAGCATTCAAAACCAACTGTTTTCAACTGAATGCGTCTGAAAATTGTTATTAAAAATTTTCTCCCTTTTAACTTTTTTTTTGGGATTTGAAAATGCGATTTCTAGAATTTGCGTATTTGAAAACCCCATTTTCCCATTTTTCAGATTCTGAAAATCTTGTTTTAGAGCTGAAAATGGGAGGAATGCAATTTTGGTCTGCTAATTAATCTTCTGTAGTTCGTAGTCTAGCATGCCAACGTGGCAGTGGCATGCTAGACTACAAACTACAAATGAAACATTAGCAGACCCAATTTTTACTATTTTTAAATATTTTAACGCAAAATCAAGATTTTCAAATTCTGAAAAATGATAAAATAGGGTTTTCAAACTTGCTGGATTCAAAAATTGTATTCCTTTAAAATTTTATTTTGTCTTTTAACCCAAAAATTCAGAACAAAATGCCCAAACAGCCAGACCACACCCAATGAAAATTGTTGTTCTCCCTCTCTCTCATTTGTCACTACCTCCTGCCAGTTACATGGTGAGGAGATAAAGAAGAAAGGTTTGACATTATAGAATGAGAGAGTATTAGAGATAGAGAGATTTAGAAAAAATGAGTGGGGGAACAACGGACGGGGGAGGGTACAATAGAAATGACCAATCGACCCCCCACTCTCCCTCTAATCGCGGTCCGCTGGCATACAGCGACAGCGAAAAATCGATAATTAGATTTTGTGCGTTTTTTTTGAATCTTTATATCTCTTTTTCCTGCTCATTTCCCATTAATTTTTACTTATTTCTCTCTTGAAAATTACACTAGAATCCTGTTGCTCGGTGGAGCGCGATTGCTATCATGAAATAACTTTTGTGGACACAACTCGGTTTTGTCCAATTTAAACCGATTTTTCGTCTGTTTCTTGCTGTTTTTATCTAAAAAATGAGTTCAGCAGATAAAAACAAACATTTTAAGTAAAAATTTCTAAAAAATTGTTGGAAAAGAAATGGAGAAATTGGTTTTTTAGTATTTTTATTAAATTTTGCGCTATTCTTTCTATTCTGAAACTTTTTTCAACTTGGTTATTATCTAGAAAATAGTATCAAAAGATCTAAAAATTGAAAAAAAAACTTGATTCCAGAAAATTGGAAATTTTTGAACATTTAAATTTTTTTTTTCAAATTTTTTCGAATATTTTTTTTGAAAACTAAATTTTTTGTAATTCTCTAATCTTTTATTTCAAACTGATTTTTGTACTAAAAGCAAAAATCTCTGAAAAAACCAGCTTCAGTACAAAAAAGGTACAATTTTGCAACCGCGCTCCACTTGACAAAAGCGCTCGATTTTTGAATTTTGGAGCTTAAAAGAGACAAAAATTAGATGATGGAAATAAAATAAAAAAAAGAAAAATTAGACTAGATTTTTTGGTATTAGAAAAAAGTAGATCAGAATTATATAGGTCTAAATTTTTGGTAATTTTCCACTTTTTTGGATCTTTTGGATTTTTGATTTTTATCATATTTTTCAATATTGGTCTTTTTTTACAGTTTTAGCTCCAATTCTGATAATTTCAGAGATTTTCGAACAACAAATCAAGTTTAATTTTCCCAATATTGAGTTCTGAAAATATCCCAAATTACCGTAAACACTCTAATAAAGGGCCACCCAAACCATCAACTTTGAGTTCATATATCTCATTTCCTGAGGCAGATATCAAAAAGTTGTTAACTGAAAAATTGTTTATCATAATATCAGCAACATTTCCTCAGTTGACACATTTTTGATATCTCTTACAATAACCGAGATAAATTAGGTCAAAGTTAGCAGTGTATCTTCAAATAAAAAATGTCAAATTTTCAGCACCTTTTCCCTTTTTTTTCGAATTTCAATTTTTAAAAATCTTTTTTTCTTTAAATCTGATATAATTTGTACATTTTCAGTATCTACCTCACCTCGAAATTCTAACACCGAAGACTAAAAAACCATGGCCCAAAGAAGACCGATTCCTGTCACCTCTCGAATGGACATTCAACCGTATGATCTCTCACAAAGACCCAGTTATCAAACAGATGAGCATGTAAAACGGCCCATCAATCCATTTATGCTTTGGTGTAAATCAAAAAGAGCGGATATGCTGAAAAAGAATGCCGGAATGAAGCCATCGGAAGTCAGTAAACAGTTAGGAGAAGGATGGAGGAATATGTCGGAAGCCGAGAAGAAACCATTCAGAGATGAGTCGGCGAGATTGAAGGCTGAACATGTTAAGGTTCGTTTTTTCCAGTTTTTGGGGTAAAATATAGCGGAAATCTTTGAATTTTGTACCCACGATTGTAGATTCTGTAGCCCTAAATCACTTAGTACCCCTTGAATTGATGTACCCCCGAATTTTTGTACCCTCCAAATGATGTGCTTAAAGTTTGAGCCCATTTATCTCGGTTGCTATGAGAAATATCAATAATGTGTCAACTGATAAAATGTTGCTGATGTTATGATAAACATTTTATCAGTTGACTATTTTTTGATATCTCTCACAGGAAGCGAGAAAAATGGGCTACAGTACCATTTTTCAAAAAGACATAGTATAGAAAAACGAATTTTCAATTGATTTTGGGGCATTTTTGACCATTTTGAGGATTTCAAATCATTTAAATAATCTGAAAATTAGTGAAAATTTGACAACAAACAATTCTAAATCGGCAAAAGCCGTGGGTCTGCTAGACTACAAACTACAGGAAGATAATTAGCAGACCCAAATATTAGTTTTCTTTGAAATATCTATTTTTGCTCAAAAATTAGATATTGAGATTCTGAAAAATGGATTAATAGGGGTTTTAGACCCGCTGATTACGAAAATTAGAATATTTAATTTTCTGAAATTTATCTACAAACTACAAGTTAACATTTAGCAGGCCCAAATCGCACCCCTCGTTTTTTGGGATTCAAATCATTCAATTAAAATATTTTTTAATTCTGAAAAATGGTAATTGGGAGTTTTAAAATTTGTAAAATTCAAAAATCAAAATTTCAAATACCAAAATGTTTCCAGAACCACCCAACCTACAAATACCAACCAAAACGAAAGCCAAAAAGAATAAAATCAGAGGATCTACCACCCGAAAATGCCTCCCCCCAACGTCACTCGTCATCCAGAGAGTCCAGTTTTTCGGAACCTCACGATTCTCCCTCAATTCCCCAGCAACAACCACAATCTTCAAATATCCAATCTTCAAATATTCCAACATTTCCATCACTTTACACCGGCGGTTTGAGCTCTCCTGTGGCTCCGCCCCCTTTGACAAATCCAATGATGCCTTATGGTGGACTTCCATTTAATTTTGGATATCCATCTGGACCAGGAGCACCTCAAAACATGCTTAGTGATCCCCAAAATAATGGTTTTAACAATTTGAATCTGCCAAATTTGATAAATCTGAATGGACCTGGAAATCCAGGAACTGGACCACAAGATTCGGAAGGAAACCTTCCATTTTTCTATTGATCTCTCTTTTTATCTATGTCAAGTTATTTGAATTTTGCGAATTTTTATGAGAAATTTTCAATAAACAGTATTTAACGAGTTTCGAAAAACCAAATTATCAAGAATTTTCCACTAAAAGAGTTATTTGCAAACTTTGCTATATCGCTGTGCTACTAGGCTATAAACTACAAGTTTGTGGAAATTGAAAATGCTATTTTTAGAGTTGGCGTATTTGGAAACCCCAGTTTACCATTTTTCAGATTCTGAAAATCTTGTTTTAGAGCTGAGAAATGAGAATAAACTCAATTTGGATCTGCTAATATTTATTCTGTAGCTTGTAGTCTAGCAGACCCACGCCGTTATCTCGCAAAGTAGTGAGTTTTAGGTCTGCTAGACTACAAACTACAAACCAAACATTTGCAGACCAACGGCGCTATCCTACCCTGTGGGTCTGCTAGGCTACAAACTACAGACTAAACATTAGCATACCAATATCGCTATCCTATGAAATAGTGCATTTTGGGTCTGCTAGACTACAAACTACAGAAAAACATTAGCAGACCCAAATATAAGTTTTCTTTGAAATGTCTAATTTTGCTCAAAAATGGGATATTGAAAGTCTGAGAAATGGTATTACAAGGTTTTCAGACCCGTTAATTTCAAAAATCACATATTTTATTTTCTGGAAAATTGGTTTTAGCATTTTTCGAATGATTTTATTTTGAAATTTTTTCATTCATGTACAGCTGACGGTTTTTAAACGTTCTTTCGGGTTTAACAACCTCCATAAATCATTTTTGATGTTTTCTAAGCTAACAGCTGTCTCTGGGACAGTTCTGGACTTTCCAAAACAATTGGTCCAAATAGAAAAAAATTCTATAGGAAAGTATATTGAAAAACTGTTTTAATGGTCAGGAAAGAAGAAAGACCAATTTTCGAATAAGTAATTCAAATTCCCAAAGAAACCTTCAAAATTAGAGAATCGGCAAAATTGAATACCGTGAAACTTGTAATAGAAGGGTCCCCTAACCTCTAACTTTGCGGCAATTTATCTCGGTTCCTATCAAAGATTCGAAAAAGTTGTCAACTGATACATTGTTTATCATAATATCAAAAACATTTTATCAGTTGATACATTTTTCATATCTTCTACAGGGAATGAGATATTTAGACTCAAAGTTGACAGTGTGGTGGCCCTTCTATTGCAGTTTTACGGTAGATGGATTCTGGATTTTTTGGATTGGATTTCAAAATTTGCAAGGTTCGTTACTTTAGAATTCGGTTCGAAACTCAACCAACCCTTCTTCATTACCCCAAGACCCCCCCAGAGGGTGGGTGTCTCTTTTACCACCCGAGTGACCACCCATTTCTCTGCGTCTCTCTATTTTCTCTACTCTCTCATTAGGGTGCATGCAATAAGGGGGTCCATGTGTGTTCTATTCTCGGGGTCAAATATCTACAGTCACCCCTCTACCCTATTCTTTTGTGTGTGTATGTTTCTTCTTCTTCTTCTTCTTTTTCTTTTCTTTTCCTTCTTCTTCGTGGGCCACCCAGCCTACTACCCCCTCTCTCATAAAATCAATAGAGATGGGTCCTCTCTCGCTCTTCTTCTTCTTCTTCTTCTTCTTCTTCTTCTTCTTCTTCTTCTTCTTCTTCTTCTTCTTCTTCTCCAGTTACTTGTCTTTCTTGTTGTTGCCCTTCTCTTCTTCTTCTTCTTGTCCTCCATCTGGTCCCTCTTCTTCTTCTTCTTTCACTTGTCCTTCACTTTCATCTTCTTCTTTTACTTCTTCTTGCCCCAATCTTCTTCTTTCTCTTCTTCTTCTTCTTTTGCCTCTTCTTCTTCTTTTACTTCTTCTTCTTCCTACAAACCCACAAAATCAAAAAATTCCAGATAAAAATGTACAACAACCAACCGGGCACCTCGTCCTATCAACCACAGGACCTCTCCCAAAGAACACCTTCTACAAAAAGTTCAAAGAATTCGAAAAAGGAGAAGTCAGGAGAGCACATCAAACGACCGATGAATCCTTTCATGCTCTGGTGTCTTCAGAAACGTGGCGAAATGCTGAAATCGCAGCCGGGGATGAGACCGGCGGAGGTTAGCAAACAGTTGGGAGAGGGATGGAAGAATTTGACGGAAGAAGAGAAGCAACCATTTAGAGATGAAGCTGTCAGGCAGAAGATTGATCATGCAAAGGTAGGGGATATTTGTTTTTGCAGGGGTCAGAGGGCCAAGGGGGAAACACTAACAGTACTGAGTTTCCCATGTTCCATTTTTTCCGAAAATTATGAAGTTTCTGATTTTTTGATATCCTGTGTTTTTGAATTTTGGAATTTCAATAGTTTCCAGATTTTCAAAATGTCGGAATTCCAAAAAGCTTCTTCCCGTATTTGCTCTAATAAAAGCCCATCCCATATGCCTACTTTGAGCTTGGTTGTCTCAATTCCCGTGAAAGATATGAAACAGTTATCAACTGATAAAATGTTCATTATAATATCACCAATATTTTATCAGTTGACCAATTTTCGATATCTTTCGAAGGAACTGAGATAATTGAGCTCAAAGTCTACTTATGGCTTGAGCTTCTATCAGAGCACATAATTTTTTTTCAGAAATCCGAAATTTGTGTATTAAGGAATTCCCAATAATCTTTTTAGGATTTCGGAATTTTGATAATTTCTGAATTTCTGAATTCCTAAAACTTCCTAATTATTTGCTTCGAATTCGGGAAAATTCAAAACTTCGACATTTTTCAGTTTTTTTTTTTGGAATTTCAATATTTCCTCAACTTCAAACTTTTTTGAGAAGCTGGAATTTCGATTCTTATCATAATTTAAAAAATTTTAAAAAATTTTCCTTCTGAAAATTTAAGACGCTTTAAGGATATACATTATTTCCTGTAATAGAAGCCCACCCTAACTGTCAACTTTAAGCTCAATTATCTCGGTTCCAAAGAGAGATATCAAAAATGTGTCAACTGTTAAAATATTAATGATCTTATGATAAAAATTTTGTCAGTTGACAACTTTTTGATATCTCTCAAAATTTCAAAGGTGTGACATGTGCACTTACAATTAGGTTGAGAAAGTAGGCCATTTGAAGGTGGGACAGGAGATATTTCGTAGGATTTTTGGAGCCAGGGTATGCATTCTACCGTGACGGTGTACAACGCTTAATGTCCTCGCCTTTATGTATGCAATCGGGCGGCCGCATTCTCTTTGCCCGCGTGGCTTAGTCGGTAGCGGCGCCGCACCCTCAATCCTCGCCCCAAAAGTTCAAATCCTCGAGGGGCCTTTTTTAACGGAATTTCAAGAACATTATTTTTTTCATGTCTCCCCACCTTTAAAAACTTTTTCCAGAACAATCCGGACCCAAAAAAAGCGGCTGATCATGTGAAACGACCGATGAATCCATTTATGATTTGGTGTCAAAAGAAACGTGGCGAAATGCTCAAAGAGCAACCAGGAATGAAGCCATCGGACGTCAGTAAGCAGTTGGGAGAAGGATGGAGACATATGACGGATGAGGAGAAGAAACCATTTAGAGATGAAGCAAATCGAATGAAAGAGGATCATGAGAAGGTAAGAGGCGGGTCTTCTAACCTTATTTTTGATTTCCAAAAATGTGATTTTTAGATTTTAAAACCCCAGTTTTTTATTTTTCAGAATTTTGAAATCTTTATTTTGAGTAGAAATAATTTTATGAGCAAAAAACGAGGAATTTGGGCCTCCTAAACGTTAACTTGTAGTTTGTAGTCAGTTGCTGAAAATTGAAAATGCGATTTTTGAATTCAGCAAATCTGAAAACCCACTAAAATCATTTTTCAGATTTTTGAGAAAAATAGATGCTCCAAAGAAAACTGATATTTGGGCCTGCTAATTATTTTCTGTAGTTTGTAGCCTAGCAGGCCAACTGACACATTCCTAACGCGCGCTTGATTGGTCTGCTAATGTTTGACCTGTAGTTTGTAGTCCAGCAGACCCAAAGTGCACTTTTCATGGGATAGCGGCGTGGGCAGGCTAATGTTTGGTTAGCAGTNTGCAGTATAGCAGGCTATCTTCCTGTGCTTGCGAGCGTTGGCTNGCTAAGATTACAAATACAGAATAACAATTAGCAGACCCAAGTTGCATTTTATCGCATTTTTCCGCTCTAAAATAAGGTTTTCAGAATCTTAAAAATGTTATTCTGGGGTTTTCAAATACTATGATTCTAAAAATCGCATTCTCAAATCAAAAATAAAAGTTTGAATGAAGAAAATTTGGCTTTTTTGGTACTCATTTTTAATGGATATTTGAGCACTACGATTTTTTAAGTTTTTGAAAAATTGAAAATTTGAAACTTCCAAAAAATTGGAACTCAAATTTTCAATTCTCGGAAAATTCGAAATTTTAGAAATCCTCTTAGAAAAGAACCTAGATTACTGTAAACCTGCAATAGAAGGGTCCCCTAACCTTCAACTTTGAGCCCATTTATCTCGGTAACTGTAAGAGGTATCAAAAATGAGACAACTGATAAATTGTTGATTTTAATATCATTAATATTTGATTAGTTGGAACATGTTTGATATCTTTTACAGTAACCGAGATAAATTAGGTCAAAGTTTGTAGTCTGGGGGTCCTTCTATTACAGATTTTACGGTAAATTGATCTAAATTTTTCAAAGATTTTGAAAATTTGGAAATTTCACTTTTCTGGAAGTTCCAAATTTTTTAGTTGAAAAATCTCAATAAAAAAATTCAAGTTTCAAAAAATCCAATTTTCCAGAACCACCCAGACTACAAATTTCGTCCGCAATCCAAGAAAATGAAGAGCAGCTCAAAAAAGGAATCTCCCCAACATCCGCGTGTCCAGATGTCCCAACAACATCAATTCTATCAAGGGATGGGACAACAGGGACAAATTCCACAAATGGGACAACAGGGACAACAATTTGGACTTCCTTTCAATTTTGGAGGATATTCCCAAAATACACAACAGGGATCTTCTGGGCAGGCTCAGGCTCAGAATTCAAATTCTTCTGGAACAGGAGCAAGTGAACCAGTTGGCAGTCCGGATGACTTGGAAATATTTTTCTGATCTATTTTTTATAAAATTTCTCCTTTTTTATGCAAAAATGACACTTTTTTTGACACTCTACCTCTATTACTATTTTTCTCGGGTTTTTTATGATTTTCGAATTTTTATGCACACTTTTTTTTGAATTCGCATAATAAACTATTGGAAACTTACGATATTTAAATTCCAGAAAACACTAAAAATCCGGAATTCGATTATTTTTTTTGAAAATCTACAATTATTCCGAATTTCCAATGTACAGATTTTTTTTTCGGAATTTCTAAATTTTTGAATTCTGAATTTCTGAATTTATGAATTTTAGAATTTTCTGAATTTATGAATTACTGAATTCCTGAATTTCTGAATTTTTGAATTTATGAATTTTCTGAATTTCTGAGTTTCTTAATTTCTGAATTTTCGATTAACTGATTTTGTCGGAATTTCTGAATTTCTGAATATCTGTATTCCTGAGTTTTCGGATTTCAGGATTTATGATTTTTTGAGTTTCTGAGTTTCCGAATTTCTGAATTTCCGAATTTTCGATATTCTGAATTTCTGAATTTCCGAATTTTCGATATTCCGAATTTCTGAATTTCCGAATTTTCGATATTCTGAATTTCTGAATTTTTGAATTTCTGGATTTCTGAACTTCTGAATCTCTGAATTCTTGTAAATTTGAAATTCTGAATTGCTTATTTTTTGTACTCTCGAATAACTGCCAAAAATACTTTTTTAGAATTCATTAATTAAAAAAAAAAATAAAAGAGAAAAAATTTAAACTATGGATGAGCCCAAATCGAGGAGGCGGCGCGGTCCTGGTCCAAATAGAGGCTGTTTCGGCGAGAATTCGAATTTCTATATGGTGATACGTGGCAAGTGGAGAGACCTGAATTTTTTGAAAAATTTAAAAAAATTTCGAGAAAAAAATTTTTAATTTGAAAAAAAACTTTTTTTAGACTTTCCAAGAACTACATATAACTACATCTATGTACATAACCCCGCCCTACACTCCACCCTCTTTCTTACCTTGAACACTCAGCGGATCGGGATTCAGAATTCCACGTGGGAGAGTTTTCAGATTTTTGGTAGACCTTCTGGATTTTGATGCCAAAAAATAGATGATGGTCCCGATGAGAAGGAAAAAGGTCAAAACGGCCATAACGACTACAGTAACCGCCACGTAGGCAGGTACACGTGGCAGTTTGGAAGTCAAGAACCCTTCTGAATACTCCACGTCATCTTTGAAGAGCCTTCCCGATTCTGAAATTGCCACGTCGTCAGCAGTGACCAGTTGGATAGGGATTGCTGTAGTTTTGGGCTTCTGAGTGAACGTCTCCAGAGATAGGGACAATTTTTGGGGTTTAATGTAGTCGTCGAGAAGTTTTTCGAGATTTTTATCAGAAGACGTGGCGTGATGTTGTTCGAGAAGTTTCCGACGGAATGACGTGGCGAAAACGGCTTCTTGAAGACGATGACGAAGATCTGACATTGATATATCGACGATTTCACGGAGAAGTTCGTCTAGAACAACGGCGTCGATCTGGAAATTTTTTTTTGAAAAATAAATGTTTTTTGGATTTTTTGGTCTGCTAATTTTCTATTGTAGTTTGTAGTGATTTGAAAAACAATTTTTAGAACTGGCGTATTTGAAAACCCCTGTCTACCATTTTTCAGTTTCTGAAAATGTTGTTTCAGAGCTGAAAAGAGATTTGGGTCTGCTAATGTTGTTTTGTAGTTGTANAGAAAATTTGGAAGTTTTGGGAGTGCATGTCGTCTGTTGGCTGTGTGGTTATCATTGTAAGCTAGCTAACCTGGAAACCCAAAACTAGGCCATAAATTCCCTTTTTCAGTGCGTCTGTTTTTCTACTATTCTCTACTGCGCTTTTAATATCTATTGGTCCATGAAAAGCGCCCAATCCCACATGAGCGCCAAAACCATCGAGCTAAACCACCAGCTCTTCATTACGCTAACATTTCAGGTTTGGGTCTGCCAGAGTACAAACTACAATCTTCCCCTAAATTTTTTACAGACACTTTTGCCATTTGTCATGATGTACAGCCCAGTGGGACTGCTAATTGTGCTTCCG